CAGAAAATCTGACATTTTGAACCTTGAAAAAAAAAATCTTTGTTTAGATGTTTCAAAGATGTATGTATGGATGCATGCATGTATGTATACATATATATATATAATAATTGTGAATTTAAAAACGATTAATCAAAATCAGTTAAATGTAAATGTTTGTGCTCTGTATCCAGAAAGCCACATCTACTTTTCAGGATCTGGTTATTATGGACACAGATTACATGTTAAATTTCAATATTTCAGTATTTATATCACAGAAACAGTTACAGGCTTTACTAGCTAAAAACACTCAGTATCAAAAGTACAGATGCTGGTTTACATTAAAACTGTATGTATGTATGTATGTATGTATGTATGTATGTATGTATGTATGTATGTATGTATGTATGTATGTATGTATGTATGTATGTATGTACAGTGGGGGAAATAAGTATTTGACCCCTTGCTGATTTTGCAGATTTGCCCACTTACAAAGAATGCAACGATCTATAACTTTAATCATAAGTACATTCTAACAGTGAAAGACAGAATCCCAAAGAAAATTCCAGAAAATCACATCATATGAATTTATAAAAATTGATAACCATCTGATGAGGAAAAATAAGCATTCTTTGTAAGTGGGCAAACCTGCTAAATCAGCAAGGGGTCAAATACTTATTTCCCCCACTGTCTGTCTGTCTGTATGTATGTATGTAATGTCCCCCTAAATTTTACTTTATATTTTTAAAACAGTCATATTCATTCTATATTATAAGTACAGTTATAAGCTACTTGTACTTTTTTCCTTGTTTACAGTTTAAAATGAAGATTTGAAAGACTAAATGTCATTTTAAAACTTTTACTTGTTTTCCCATCTGGAGTTTCCCTAAATGTTTTGAAAACCCCTGATTTTTTTTTTTTCCAAATTCCAGAGTGATTTAAATTTGCTCAAATGGCAAGATGGCGGACTCTCACTGCAACGCACGAACAAGGTAAGGAGCCGGAGGGGGGGGCTACCGGGCAACCGCGCTACCGGGCAACCGGGCTACCGGGGCCGGAGGGGGGGCTACCGGGCTACTGCGTCCTAGGGCTCCCGCGATACCGGGGTTCGGTGCGGGTCTACTCTGACAGTGATATCGAACCGGGGTCGGGGGTCCGGGTCTCCCCTCTGGGGAGCCCCGGCCCCCCTCCCCCGGTGGCCGTTTTCCCCGATATTCCCCGGTTTTCCCGGTATTCCCGTTTTTCCGTTTTTCGTATTTTACCGCGGTAGTGCGGTAGCGCGGTAGCCCGCCCACTTCCTTGTTTTTGTCACATGACTAAAAACAAGTCACATGACTAAAAACAAACCAATGAGAATCTAAACTAAAGCAGATTCAACCAAATATCTTAAAGATTTAGGGGGGGGGGG